ATCGGCAAAATCGAGCCCCAAAAAATTCGGGCGCCAAAAATTTCCTGAAACTTACCATCTCAAACCCTACCATCTTAAAACATAGGAAACCTAATCCCTATCTTAATAGATAGGGAAATATATTCCCTATCTTAAAACATAGTTTGCTGACCGGATACTCCATAGCCTATGTTAATACAGGGGGGTCAGCAAGCAACTACCCCCACCCTGATCAGCCCCAACATATACTACTCTATTTGAAAAGTCTTTGAGACTTCATTTTTTTCAGACAACCAAGTTACAGTTGCCACTGCGAGTGAGTTTTCACGGATTTGCAATAAAAAAATCTAATTTCATCATACTTGTTTGGAACGCTACAATTTGTTCATAATTTTTTTATTTGCCCATTAAAAGATAATTGAATTTCGACTGGCTACAGTTTCATTTATGATAAATGGAAAAATTTGGCAAAAATGAGCCCAATTTTTTCAATTCGGTTCTAATAAATGAGGGATTTTTTTTGTAAAACGGCCCAAAATTATCATTTCCTAATTGAGATTGTTCTTAATTTGAAACCCAGATTTATTTTGGATCAATTGAGCAATCTCCCCCCCCCCCCCCCATTCTCGCGTGGGGGGGGGGGGGGGGGAGATAGCTCAATAGGTACTTGAGACATGTTTGTAACCACTTGAAAAAAGAATGAAGAACATGAAATCGTAAAACATATTTTCCAACGACTGTGGAAAGCCAAAATTTACAATATCAAAGCTCAAAAGTTTCATTCGGATTAAAAAAAGAATCAATAAAACAGCCATAAAAAGCGACTTTTTTTTCCTTTCTTAACATAAAAAAAAGTTTTTGCGAACAATATTAAGGTGCTGCGGAGAACCGTTTTTGCTACTCAGATACAACGCTAGAGCACCACTCCTGGTAAATCGCTTTCTTCGATGAGGCTATGGTCGCTTAAACAAAATTTTGCAAAAAAAAATTTTTTTTTTTCATAAATTTCGATTTTTTTTCAAAATTATTCTCGATACTCATGTAAGATAACTTCAGTTGGTCAATTGATTGCGTGCTATAAACACATCATTCATCTACTTGCGTTTGCTGACGTCTTTTTATAGAGTTTTTTCGATTTTGCTGGGGGGAGATAGCTCAATTGGTCATTACGGGGGGGGGGGGGGGAGATTGCTCAATTGATCCTTTATTTTTGCTGATTGAGCCTTTATTGATCCTCTATTAATTTCAACCGATCAGTTTCGAGTATCATGATCGAACTTTCAAAATAGCAAAAAGATCAGCTTTTGGGCCGTATAACAGAAAATACCCATAAACGATAGTACAAATTGAGTTAAGCCGTGGGCAAGTCTTCTCTTAGACCGACCTTCGCATAAACATTCAAATCACAGAGTTTGCGTAAGAGATCAAGTCTTACTTCTTTTTATCACGGAAGCCCAACCCGTTTTGGCCGACCAACCCTATTTCTTCAACAAGAGCCTTATAGACGCCAATTTATAAAGCGGAGCCAGAGGTAGAGCCGGAAAACACGGTTTTTTCGTTACAACCATCAGAAAGTAGCTAAATTGTGGTCAATTTGGAATTTTTGGGAGATCAAAGCTTTGAATTTTGAGTCAATTTGAATTTTTTGTAACGCCCATGATTTTCAAAGATCCAAAGAACCTACGAATTGCTTAGGATCTTAGGAAAATTGGTATAAAAAATCTGCGATTGATGGTATCTAAAATTGAGAATCTATTGTTCGACTCTTTAGAGTTATGGTCTTCTCAATTTATCGGGTTTTCCATTCAGCTATTCACTCAGTTGATTGCGTTAAATTTGAAAATGTCTTCGTATTCGTTCACTCTTCTCAGCTATTTTGGTCATAGATAGAGGGAAAGGAAGCTTTATTTTGGTCCCTTCCAATATGTATTTCTTTGCGTTGGTTTATTGCTTTTTGCTTCAAATAGCATGAATGTATTATAAAGGTTGAATTCAGACATGCAGTTGTGTTATTGTATTCATCGGCTTTCTGCAGAATCGCTACGAGAACTCCAAGCCATCTGTCGGAGCTCCGATCGAACAACTTGAAATGAATGTAATAAGCCTTTGGTTGAATTTTAAAAGCGTTCTATCGCAGCGTTGCTTTCTAGTAGCGTGTACTATTTTATGCTACTTTGTTATTTTATTCAAATTTTCTTTCAAACTGAATCCAGTTTTTTCCCTAAAACTCCAGGGCCGTGGAGTTTTTTGAGCTGAAATTTTACTCATATGTCGACCAGAACATAACCCACCTTGACGCCAATTTTCAGAAATTGGGATGCCCGAGGTGAGCAGAACTTCGGCTATTTTGATTTAAAGCCGAATCGATTTGGATCATTTCTCAGCGTTCATTTTGCTTGTGCGTCACGTGAAAATCTCGACCAATCAGATCACTCAGAATTTCATGTACACGGTGAACTTTGTAAATTTCATTATCAACATGGCCGCGCACATGAGCATGTTATACAGCTGTTAAAAAGACAGCAAATTTATGTAAAAAGGTAAAATGGAAGAGGTTGGATTTCAAAAACCGACAGATATTTGGTAATTCAAAGTAATTATTATGTTTGTATGTTGTTTCAGGTAATTTACGATCGAAGTGTTCATTGGGAGAGTTGTAATAGGCGCTAACCTTTAGAGAAAAGATTTTTCACAAGATGGCAATGTGACTATGTGAAGGATCCTATAAAATTAATAAATCAGATATTTTACGTAAATACGAGTAATAAGGTTAAAATTTTGGCAGCAAAATGAGGTAGGTCAACTGAGGTTCTCTATGTATTGAAATCAGTGGTTATAATTCTGGTGTCGAGGAATGCAATGACGACAAAAAAATTAACCAGATTAGCCTTTCTCAATGTAAATGAAACCCAGCTAGTTTCTCTGTTTTTCTTCGCCAGAAATTAACAAAAATATCCGAAGTTATTTTGTTCGAAGCTCCACAAATGCATTCCTATAATTAAAAGTGAACTGAAATTTGAAAATCTGACAGGAAAACTGACGGCGTCGATTTGAGAATAATGTTTTTTTTTCTGCAGTTACTGGAAAATAGAAGCAAAAACCTGAGGGCGAAGGACTATGAAGTCTTAGTTGTCTCAAAAGCTATAGCAGAGAACTGCATTTTTTAAAAAACTGTAGGAGTCAGTTTCTAATTTTTAAGTATGCCTTGATATAAAAACCCTGTTCATACGATTATTGTTTAGATAATCTCCCAATGCAACTACGTCGTTTTTATAGGAACTGCCACTCCTGCCGATTTTCTAAAAACTCATATAGATATTTTGTTTCAGCGCAAATATACCAATTGATTCTTGTGGTAAGCTACAAGATGACCCTATTGCTACACCAGTCGAAACAAAACATGAACCCACCGATAACGTGAGCGAAAACTCAAAAGAGAGTGCTTCCGCGCTTGCACCCATAGACCCCAAAGATGTGACAATACTACCTCCCCCAGAATACCGTTGTCCAGGTAGAGGTAGATGGACAAATCAACTCAAATACCTCCTGGTGACAGTAATCAAGCCAATATTGAATTTGAAGTGCTCGAGGTATTTCAAGACACCTGTAGACCCAATAACTCTAAGAGTTCCGGTGAGTAAATCTGACGCATTTTCTAATGCATTGCAATAGATGAGATCTGCTTTGATGGCCTGTTCTTTCAATTTGAACCGTCATTACACTTGCCAGCTTGCAAGCGTTAGTGTATTAGTACGAACCTTCTTTTTTCCAACCTTGAGCCTTTATTGATCCTCTATTAATTTCAACCGATCAGTTTCGAGTATCATGATCGAACTTTCAAAATAGCAAAAAGATCAGCTTTTGGGCCGTATAACAGAAAATACCCATAAACGATAGTACAAATTGAGTTAAGCCGTGGGCAAGTCTTCTCTTAGACCGACCTTCGCATAAACATTCAAATCACAGAGTTTGCGTAAGAGATCAAGTCTTACTTCATTTTATCACGGAAGCCCAACCCGTTTTGGCCGACCAACCCTAATTCTTCAACAGGAGCCTTATAGACACCAATTTATAAAGCGGAGCAAGAGGTAGAGCCGGAAAACACGGTTTTTTCGTTACAACCATCAGAAAGTAGCTAAATTGTGGTCAATTTGGAATTTTTGGGAGATCAAAGCTACCAAAATAGGTCAATTTGAATTTTTAGTAACGCCCATGATTTTCAAAGATCCAAAGAACCTACGAATTGCTTAGGATCTTAGGAAAATTGGTATAAAAAATCTGCGATTGATGGTATCTAAAATTGAGAAACTATTGTTTGACTCTTTAGAGTTATGGTCTTCTCAATTTATCGGGTTTTCCATTCAGCTATTCACTCAGTTGATTGCGTTAAATTTGAAAATGTCTTCGTATTCGTTCACTCTTCCCAGCTATTTTGGTCATAGATAGAGGGAAAGGAAGCTTTATTTTGGTCCCTTCCAATATGTATTTCTTTGCGTTGGTTTATTGCTTTTTGCTTCAAATAGCATGAATGTATTATAAAGGTTGAATTCAGACATGCAGTTGTGTTATTGTATTCATCGGCTTTCTGCAGAATCGCTACGAGAACTCCAAGCCATCTGTCGGAGCTCCGATCGAACAACTTGAAATGAATGTAATAAGCCTTTGGTTGAATTTTAAAAGCGTTCTATCGCAGCGTTGCTTTCTAGTAGCGTGTACTATTTTATGCTACTTTGTTATTTTATTCAAATTTTCTTTCAAACTGAATCCAGTTTTTTCCCTAAAACTCCAGGGCCGTGGAGTTTTTTGAGCTGAAATTTTACTCATATGTCGACCAGAACATATCCCACCTTGACACCAATTTTCAGAAACTGGGATGCCCGAGGTGAGCAGAACTTCGTCTATTTTGATTTAAAGCCGAGTCGATTTTGATCATTTCTCAGCGTTCATTTTGCTGTGTGCGTCACGTGAAAATCTCGACCAATCAGATCGCTCAGAATTTCATGTACACGGTGAACTTTGTAAATTTCATTATCAACATGGCCGCGCACATGAGCATGTTATTGAGCTGTTAAAAAGACAGCAAATTTATGTAAAAAGGTAAAATGGAAGAGGTTGGATTTCCAAAACCGACAGATATTAGGTAATTCAAAGTAATTATTATGTTTGTATGTTGTTTCAGGTAATTTACGATCGAAGTGTGCATTGGGAGAGTTGTAATAGGCGCTAACCTTTAGAGAAAAGATTTTTCACAAGATAGCAATGTGACGATGTGAAGGATCCTATAAAATTAATAAATCAGATAATATTTTACGTAAATACGAGAAATAAGGTTAAAATTTTGGCAGCAAAATGAGGTAGGTCATCTGAGATTCTCTATGTATTGAAATCAGTGGTTATAATTCTGGTGTCGAGGAATGCAATGACGACTAAAATGAACCAGATTAGCCTTTCTCAATGTAAATGAAACCCAGCTAGTTTATCTGTCTTTCTTCGCCAGAAATTAACAAAAATATCCGAAGTTATTTTGTTGGAAGCTCGACGAATGCATTCCTATAATTAAAAGTGAACTGAAATTTGAAAATCTGACAGGAAAACTGACTGCGTCGATTTGAGAATAATTTTTTTTTCTGCAGTTACTGGAAAATAGAAGCAAAAACCTGAGGGCGAATGACTACGAAGCATTAGTTGTCTCAAAAGCTATAGCAGAGAACTGCATTTTTTAATAAAACTGTAGGAGTCAGTTTCTAATTTTTAAGTATGCCTTGATATAAAAACCCTGTTCATACGATTATTGCTTAGATAATCTCCCAATGCAACTACGTCGTTTTTATAGGAACTGCCACTCCTGCCGCTTTTCTAAAAACTCATATAGATATTTTGTTTCAGCGCAAATATACCAATTGATTCTTGTGGTAAGCTACAAGATGACCCTATTGCTACACCAGTCGAAACAAAACATGAACCCACCGATAACGTGAGCGAAAACTCAAAAGAGAGTGCTTCCGCGCTTGCACCCATAGACCCCAAAGATGTGACAATACTACCTCCCCCAGAATACCGTTGTCCAGGTAGAGGTAGATGGACAAATCAACTCAAATACCTCCTGGTGACAGTAATCAAGCCAATATTGAATTTGAAGTGCTCGAGGTATTTCAAGACACCTGTAGACCCAATAACTCTAAGAGTTCCGGTGAGTAAATCTGACGCATTTTCTAATGCATTGCAATAGATGAGATCTGCCTTGATGGCCTGTTCTTTCAATTTGAACCGTCATTACACTCGCGAGCTTGCAAGCGTTAGTGTATTAGTACGAACCTTCTTTTTTTCCAACCTAACTCGCAAATAAAAGTGTTCATCAAAATTCACTTATTTGGCGGCACTTTTGCTATTATCACGATCTGTTGCATTGGAAATTTCATAGCATCTGTCCTCTGCTGTATTTGTGGCTAGTGATTGTGATTTATTGAGCGTCCGTAGCTGAGTGATTAGTGCGCGAGACTCATAATCTCGAGGTCGCAGATCGAATCCGAGGTGTAGCCGAATTTTACTACTCGTGGCGTATTTCCACTTTTCTTCTTGCTTTTTATAGAGCTGCTTTTGTTGTGTTCTCGCTAGTGTGTGCGAAGCACAGCTTCGCCTCTGTTTTTAAGTTTTGAATCATGGTGCAAGTACAGCCAAATTATGCTAACGAATCAGTATTTTCTTCAGCTTTAGTTAAGAATTGTAGCCTTCGACCCAATGTTTTTGCTATCAAAAGGATTACATGAGTTTCTAAAAAAAAGAGTGACAGCCGGTACTCAATTTTTAGGCTGATTAAAATACAAAAAATGATTCAAGTGGGGTTTGGGGACTTATAGTATACCATTCACACAGTCTACTTCTTTAATGCCATTATGCATTCTAGACTCACTGCATTATCATCCTCAATGTGCATCCTACCATCTATCGCTATCAGCTGAGAAAACATGAGTTTTAAAACGGTTCGAAAGGAAATGAAGATTTTAATCTGGGCATGCACTTTCGTCGTAAAAGCAGGTTTATCATTCAACCCTTGTGTAATTAATTATTGTCTTTTTCAGAATTACTACGACATAATCACAAATCCGATGGATCTGGGTTCCATAAAGAAGCGCCTGGAAAATAATTACTACATAAATGCTCAGGAATGCATAGATGACGTCAACCTTATCTTAAGAAATTGCTACACTTTCAACAAACCAGATCATGTAAGAAATCACGTTTCTTAGGAAGCAGCTATTTGAAATCCCCATTTTTTTTGTCTATCAAAATGTCCCAATTTTCCAGGCATAGTAATTGGACGCATGAGATTATTCAGGCGTCAAGTCTTTTTGGCGTCAAGCGTCAGGACGCATGAGATCAGATCACGTCTTTCTAATTCAGTCTCTAATATTATGATTCGTACTTTGTTTACAAGCGGTTTTATGTGATCATTCCACTTTTTCTCAACCCGAAGTCGCGCAGTTTAGTTGCTGCCTGGTATTCTAAGAATAAAATGGATACCAGAGGTCCAATTTCGAATCCCGTTTGTTAGATTTTATTTCACAGCAGATAATTAAGTGTCAAAAAACGATGTGAAGACATTCATATAGGTCGTGTTGATTTTATTTTCAGGAAATTGTTCACGCTCATTTTTTTCGCGGTTTGGTTATTGATTTGTTTTCACGTTCAGTTCAGTTTTTTTGCTAAAAGAAAAATATTTTATGCTCTCTTATTACGATAGTGCGGAAAAACGTCGATGACTCGAAAGTGGAAAGTGGAATTTAATTTTTTCCTAATGGAATAAAAAACAATTATGAATCCAGAGTTCCCAAAATGGTTTAATTTTATGGAAAAAAAGTTAACGAAGTGAAGACACTTTTGTAGGTCGGATGTTTTCCGTTTATTTTTATTTTGAAATTTTTAATTCTTAAAAATTGTTTTAACTGAAATATAGTTTTTTTGCGGTTTGAGATATGATTTCCACTTTTCTTAAATATAGCTAATTTTTACCTTCAATTTCTTCTAAGTTCAATACAACTTCTTCTACAAAAAGGAATGCAAACTACGCTCTCAAATTACGAATGTGCAAATGGCAAGAAGAACGTATTGAAGACTCTTATATAAGTTGTGATGAACTTCTGTTTTTTTTTCAGGAAAATTTCTTAAAATTTGTTCACGCTCAAAGTTGATTGTTTCACAATTTGATAAATTCTTTTTCAGTTCAGTTCTTTTCCTTTGTTAAAAGGAAAGCAAACTCACCTTTCGAAAAGCAAAAGTGTTAAGGTCACAAAAAAGCGTGATTGACTTCTAATTTCGAAATTAAATTTTATCTTTTATATACCAGAGGAATTAAAGCCTCATCTAATAATCCAGTTTTCTCAAATTGAGTCAAATTAATTTAAAAAGTGTCAATTCTACATTTCTCTGGAAAAAATTGTCTTTTAAAATCGAATAAAAAAAATATAATTTTTTTGTTTACGTGCGTTCATTGGCTCTTTTCAATTCTGTTGGCTATATATTTTTCCGCAAAAATCGAAGTTGAAAATTGTTTTAAAATAAGTTCATTCTTTTTTTGGCTTACTAGAGTTAATTGACCGTTTTCCAACTGCCTGTTGTCTATTTTTTTTTTCAAGAGTCGATGAACGTAGTTCAGACTGTTATATAGGTCGCGATGCTTTTTTTATGGTTTTTTTTTTCAGAAAAAGTCATAAAATTTGTTCAGGCTCAAACGTACTTTTTCGCGGTTTGACTTTTGATTTGTTTTCAGTTCAGTTCATTTCCTTTGTTTAAAGAGAGACAAACTCCACTATCGAACTGCAAAAGTATAGAGGCCACCAAAACGGGATCGACTTCGTTTCAAAAGTGGAATTTAAGTTTCAGATTTCCCAGCGAAATTTTTTTTTACCTATTGATCCAGTTTTCTAAAATTGGGTCAGTTTTAGCGAAAAAATGCCAATCATAAATTAGTCTAGAAATTCAAAGAGCTTCAAGGGCATATATTTTTTCTTTGAGATATGAATTTTTGCAAAAAAAAACAAGTCCATTTTTTTCTGTTCAATTGCAATCATAGACTCTTTTCCAACTGTCTGTTGGCTATTTTTTTGTTTTCTTCTCTATATGAACGCAATAATCAGTTCGTTTTTAATATCGTTCAATAACGCTTTTGCAACTGTTTTGGGACCAGGAGGTCCTATGTTCGAATTCAGCCAATGCGGAAACGTTTTGAAAGCAATTGGTTTTTTTTAAACATATGCAGGAAGAAAAGCATAGCCTCTCTGAAGTAAGTGAAGCTGAATTTAACTTTATATATAACAATTTTGTAAATTTTTACTACATGCTAACTTGATTCAAGGCCTTATATAGCTCTTTAATTTTTTTAGTGCGTATACCTAGAAGGCCGCAGCTTAGAAGAGCAATTTAAAAAGAAAATAGGTAAAATGCCATTTGACGAAATCGAGATTCCGTTCAATTCGAAATCGCAGACAGTGGGTAGTCCCAAGAAAAAGTACGTTCCGATAACGCCCTCGCGGCACCCAGTTGTGCACTCCACTTCTTCAGAGCCATCTGCAGTTGATAGTGTTAAAGTTGAGCCACCAGTGCTTGTCGAGAGTACGCAGCCCGACTGTCCACCTACGTCATCTTGCGACGTTCTTAAAGAAGAGCAACCCTCGCCGCCTCCTCTAGAAGACGCAAGAACTCCGCAAGTCGAGTGTGATCAAGAGGACAACGATGACGAGCCATTGGCGCCACCTCCGCTCACCCCGGCACCTCCAGTTTCAGAGGACAACATATCTCCCGCTGATTTGTCCTCGCAGACTGTAACGCAAAGCGGCTTGCCAATCCTAGAATGTGCCATAAACAGGCCGCAACTTAGTCCTGATGATTCAGTGAGCAGTGCGGTAGATGATACGACGGTACACTCTACACAAGAAGACGACAGGCTGCGATTTGGAAACGCTTCATCCAACGCTACTAACCCTCTAAATATATCAATAGATGAAACAAAGGAAGACGATTGCTCAGTAAGCCATGTTATTTTCTCTCACTCGAGCTGCAGTTACATTTGAGAGGTATTTGATTTTATTACACGATCATTTCTTTTTAGGCAAGTGATACAAGTGCTCCCTTTGATGGTCAAGAAAACGGAGAGCTGCATACAATAGTTACGTCAAGTGTGAGACCATTTGCCGTTCAACCCTCTAAGGTTCAATTTTGCACCCACGTGATTTCAATAAAGGTTGATTGGCTTATTTTTTATCTTTTATTTCCTCGTTTAGACGAAAAAGGGAGTAAAAAGGAAAGCAGATACAACTACACCGCACACACCATCATTCAACAAAACAAACTCTGCCTCTTCATTCTACGCTGATGATAGCAATTCTGCTAGAACGAGCACGCGCAAAATCAAGCCGCCAAACAAGGAGCTTCCTGGTGAAGACGAACCGTTTGGGAAGGCGATGAAAAAATCACCTCTCAATAATCAATTGCGATTCTGCGAAAAACTCATCAAAGAGTTGTTAGGGAAATCACACGCTGTAAGTAACCGAAATTGACTAAGTGAAGTACCCAGTACAGTTTACTCTCATCTTCCTATATAGAGATATATAGATTGTAGATGAATTCTTGATTTCTTCCGAATATTCGGCTCATTCAAATTGAGAATGTCTCAAAATAATCACAAAGTCATATTTGAAGGCTTGATCAAATTCTAGTTCTGAGTATAAACTTGAGATGCATATGAGTTTATTTGTGATTCTATGTTCCAAGTAGTGCTATACGTGTCTATGGCTCTTGATTTATTTTACTCTGAAGGAAACAATTTAGGCTGATAAATGCATTGAGATACATTCAAATTATTGTTACGGCTAAGAAGTTTTACGGCCTTATCAATCTGATTCAATGCAATGTAACATGGTACATTTGTTTTAATTAGGAATATGCATGGCCCTTTTATCAACCGGCCTATGAAAAGTGGCACCTCCCTGACTACTTGGAGAAAATAAAGAAACCAATGGATTTGGGAACGGTTAAAAAGAAGCTAGAGGCGCGTGAATACAAGAGTGTGAACGAGTTTGCTGAAGACATGCGGCTTATTTTTCACAACTGCTACCAGTACAACCCCTCTGACAATCCAATTCATCAAATGGCGCAGAAATTACACGTTGGTTCAAGCACTTACAACTGCATTTTGTCTAAATATCAAAATGTATGCTCAAAGGGAATCTGTCCAAAAGAAAAGGATAGCCGGTTACTGTGCAACTAGCACAGAATGTTCCGACCATAGTCTTGAAAAACATATAAAAAACGTTTACAAATTAGTGTGTTTTTTCTGCGTGGTGTGATAAAAAGATCTGAACGAACAAATAGAACTTCGGCATAACGTTTACAAATTAGTGTTTTTTCTGCGTGGTGTGATAAAAAGATCTGAACGAACAAATAGAACTTCGGCATATTCGGCGGTCATAGTAAAATAGGCGAATTGGAATACAGTTTTTTAGGGCACTAAGAAACTCCGAAGACCAACTTTACTTGAGTAAAATTAAGTTTTCACGGCTTAAATTAAGCAAAAATAAGCTATTGCTAGCCTGCATTCTTTTCTTATAAGCCCCTGGTCCTGCTCAGTATAGGACCAACCTTGGGGGCGAAAGATGTCATCTATTTCGCCGCAGCCGATCCCACCTTGAGGAGGCGGATGACACTGGGACCCCTCCAACCGTGACCGAAGTGGGAATCGAACGCATAACCCACGTGTTGATATACGTGTGCCTAACGCGCTCCCCTTATTAGCTCGAAATTAGACCAAAAATGAAAAATTTTCGGACCGGGTTTTCTCGACACTAAAAAAAATTTTGGGAATTTTTAACGTGGTTCGAATCACGACTGAAAGGGCTTTAATATCACTCAACCCAGTCCGATAATTTTTTGTGGTACCTGATTTTGCGTGGGCGTGGAAAAAAAGAAAAAAAACTAAAACACACCCGAATACAAAGTTCCTCCCCATTTTCAATGGTCGTAACAATAAAATACAAACCTGAAATATAGATTTAATTTTTGAAAGGTATTTTTATGCGACAATGATCGTATTGGAGAAACTTTTTAATGTCGGTTTAATTTGTTTCTGGAAGAAGCCTTATAATTTTATGCTCAACTATGATTTTTCGCAGTTTGACTTCTATTTACATTTAATTTCAATTCTAGTTCATTTGCTAAAAGGAAAGCAAATTAGGGTCTGTAATATCAAAAGAGCACATTGCTTTAAAAAGTTTTGAATGAATTTTAGTTTCAAAGGAAGATTTTAGGTTTTAAGTGTAAAAGAATGTAAGAATGAAGTGATTTTCACTTTAATAGTTTTGATGATTCAATGAACGTAGTTTAGTGAAGAATCTTATATAAGTCTTGGTGATTTTTTTGATTAAGAATCAATGAAAATTGTTCAAACTTGAAAGTTAATATTTTTCAAAAAGAGTTTTTTTCTGTGTCCTTGAGTTCATGGACACTTTTCGCTATATATGTTGGCTATATTTGAGTTTTTTCAGTCAATGTTCGAGAATAAATTCGCGAGACTTCCTTCCAAAGCGTCGCCATCATCAAGTGAATTGTCGTCGTCAACAAGTACAAGTTCGGAACGCAGTCTAAACGGGATTTCGATTCATAACCGAGCCTCCCATTCGCATCCATCGGGTTACGGTAAAAGCTACCAGGCAAACTTTGTAGCTTCGAAGGTAGCTGCTGCCAAACAAGCATCCCCGAACAAATACAAGAAGGCAAATGGTGACATTCGAAGTGCGCATGACGGTCGCAAGAGTGCAAAGTATTTCAAGAGTCAAACTGTAACTTCTGCAAAATCTACCGAGCCTAGTCCGCAGTCTAAAAATGTGTCACCTCAACTGGCGGTTGTCAACCCACCGCCTGAAATACCAGATGCAGGGACCATTGCTGCTCTGCAAAAACAAGTATGACATCGTCCATTTAAAAGTGCAATATGAATGATTTAAAGTTTATTGGGCCATAATACCTGGTTATTAGGGTTTTGCAATCTAATATTGATTTTTTAATAGTTACAAATGGTCATGCAGCAGTTAACGCAGATGCAGCAAGGAGGCTTTCAACATGATGACAAAGCTCGTGATGTATGCATCAAATTGAAAGAATTTCTATATTTCTTTCATTAATTCAAAGACCTTGAAAATCGTGCTGATTTTAGGCTAGTAGTATACAGAGTCAAATAGACAACCTAAACCAGAAAAAGCCACGTGCTCCTAAGCGACCAAGAAAATCAAAGGTTATCGCAGATGCAGTCGATTCCAGCAGTAAATCAGGGTCTGTGGTCTCTTCAGCAGTGACTAGCAGCCACAGTATGGCCAACTCAGCGTCTATAGCAGAATCAGTGGCCACGACTGTTTCTATGGTAGCTTCTAGCAAACACGACAGACATGAATATGGTGCTATGGAATCCAAGATATCTCCTACGTCAGTTTCCTCCAACATCAAAACAGAACAGCCACCTCTATCTTCTCACAATTCTCAACCTAGTGATCTTCCAAACAGAGCAAGCGTCATCACTACCACTGCAGCAACCAACTCTAAGTCACTTAAAACTGTAAGAATTTTTCACTACTCTAAGGTGTATATCTGCTTGGCAGGTGAGATGCCAAAATCCTTACTCTTTCGAAAATATTGGCTATCTGATATTCATTAGACCGAATGTCTCAACCAATTGTCGCTAAAATCTGTAATTGATAAACCCCATGAAACCAAAAAAACTATTAAGAAAGGATGTTTTCAAATCATCCCTGATTTTTTAAAAATGAAATTTGATTAACGGAAGCCTAAATGTGTCAGCATGAAGAAGTTCAACAATTTGCACGGAAGAAATATTCTAACAATCTGTTCAATTGTGAACAAATTTGTTCTTCGTGCCTTACATCGTAACATCACGCATTCAGTCATAATAGCCCGTAAATAAACTGAGAAAACGGAAAACTTGAAATGTGTGTGTGTTTGGGGGGGGGGGGGAGGTTGGAGTCAACTTTTGAAAATTGAGTTTCAAAAAAATCAAAGAGGGAGAGAGGGCTTGTATTGTCGCATGAACAGTTTTGGCACAATTTTAGGCTCTTTTCCAGTCCCCCCTTAAAAATACCGATTTTATGTTTGTTTTACGTGTCATTACGGCTAAATGCGTGATGTTACGCTGTAAAGTATGAAGAGCAAATCTGTTCACAGTTGTCGATTTGTTCAGCACGCCAATTTTCATTGAAATATGACAACGTTAAATAAGCTTTTCAAAATTGAATTTGAAAGGGGGGAAACTGGAAAAGAGCCCAATTTTATATTTACGCTAACGTCAGCTTTGTGTGTTATTATGAACCTTTTTTTTCTAAGCTAACTCGCAAATAAAAGTGTTCACTTATCTGGAAATTTGAATGTAGCGTTGGAACTGCATAGCTGTAGCAGGTTCGAATTGCAGACGAAGACGAATTTTTGCTAATTTGAGGCTTATTTATACTTTAATTGTACTTTATAAAGCTGCTTCGCCTCTATGTGCAATTTTTCGTTGGGAAACTGGAAGAGGGCCGATTACTGTTATGGAATTCACAAAAACCTTTCATTAGCATATTGTTAGCATAGCTTTATACAATATTAAGAAGACAATTTTCCGGTGTCGAAAACTCATATTTAAATTTTAAAATATTTAGCTTTTAGCTGTAGAAAACTAGGTTTCGAAGCTTAGTTTAGCGCAGCGCAAGTCGTTAGACTAACAGAACTGGAAAATTTAATTGTGTAAAAACTTGAATTGTGAAAATTATGAAAAAAAGGGTTTTTTATGAGTTTCTTGGTTGACTGGGTTGATTTTATCAAAAAAAGAAATGGCTAATCATGAATTTTTATTGAAAATCGAAGAGCTTGAACGGCATATATTTTTTTTGTTGGAATTTCGAAAGTTGAAGTTTTTTAAATAAAAAATCGGCCCTTTTCAATATTTGTTTTCTGTTTCCTTTTCATTGACTATGTTTATGTCTATAAGCTATGTTGATAAATTAAACCATTGTTCGCATTATCCGATTGTTATGAAATTGACATGAGGACTAATTGAGCCATGACAAACATATGTGCTCTTCATACTTAACCTTTTAAAGCCACCCATTGCACCATAGGCTCTTTTTCCCCTCGTAAAATTTCAAAATAAAGCTATTCAAAAGTTGTTCACACGGCATTTTGCGTGTAAGAAATGTCAGAAAAATTGTTCACCTGTTCACGCTGACACGTTTTAATGCAGTTTATAACATGAAAAGTCATTGTAAATAAGTTTTCATATATTAAACTTCCGAAAAAATCAAGGGGGGAACTGGAAAAGTGCCGCACCATACAATCCATGATCATGCGAGGTGAGGGAAAATAAAAAAAAGAGCCTGCCGTTTTGATTTTCTAGCGCCTGGCCTGAAGAAAAACTTATAGTTCGAGCTGAATTCACAAATAGTTCTTAGTTTCGCGGCGCTAGATTTAACCTTGTGCTGACTGTTTCCAAGTCGAAAACATGTTGCATTAAAGAGGTCTTTGGTAAACACATGGCTTTTAAAACCAGTTAAGTTCAACTTCTCGGCAGCATGGTACAATTCTGAAATAACGTTTGTATTAAAATTTTTAATTTTCTATGCAATATTAGAGTTTGAATATGCTACACCAAATTTGTTGGGTTAAGACGATTTTCTTGTAAATAAATTGTTTCGTCAAGTGAGCTATTTTAATATGTAACATTTAATGCAAAAGAAAGCTGTTATTTTTCTGCGATCGCTCTTTTTTGAACGCTTTAAAGTTTTTGTAAACACGTTTGAGCTTGAGTTAATGTTCTTTGAATAATGCTTCAGAGAGTTTATTCAATTATATGTTTTCTTATATCTCAGCTTTTAAATATATTAATATTCATTTGTTAGGAGCCATCTCGGACAATTTCTCCGCCAGTATCTCGAACTATCGATTCATCTCCACACGATCTGGGTCCGGGCCAGTTACCGTTGACGAATGGTCCAGTCACTTCTGCTGCTGTTTCAATGAACACATCTTCGTCTTCGAGTATGCCAGGACCTAACAGCTATTGGTCAAACTCAGTCAGTAAAAGTAAGCTGAACCCTTGTTTGCTGAGTAGATTTGCCAAACATTTATCCAAATAGAATGTATACTCTCTAGACAGCATTAGTGTAATATTACATTTCGGCATGAAATTCACTTTCTCTCTAGCCAATGCCAACTCGGACACACAGTCATCCAATGCATCGACCTCGGCTGCTCCCACCTCGGCCAAACCAGGCAGGAAGAGCACAAAGAACTCAAACGACTCGCGTCATTCGCCCCCTGCCAAAAAGTCAAATCTGAAGAAAGTCACCAAGTAAGCCTGCTCTTCGTCCTGATTACTTTGCTTTCTTATATCAAAAAGTGAAAGGATTTATAATTTGAACAGCTCCACTGAAATTCTATGTACCATTTGTTAGCCAATTGTAAAATATAGCTTAAATTTTTATGCCCAGTTGATAGAAATGTGTCATTTGTTACGTTTCAATGCAAATTTTTATGCATTTTTAGAATGCCACGACCTTCAGACTTTGTGTTGGACAGCGACGAAGAAGACAATGCCACTGACATGACTTACGAGGAAAAACGCCAATTGAGCAGCAATATCGACAGACTGACCAGTTCGTTTCAAAACTTCTTAAGAACTTCAAAATTTATCAAATGAAATTCAAACTGAACTTAATAGCATGCTTAGTTTTGTAGAGGAAAAAAGTTCATCTGTCATTTAGAACCACAGCTGTATCGAGTTGTTCACATATTGAGAGCTCACGAGCCTCAGCTTCAAGATGCAGACGTTGCTGAAATCACGCTGGATCTGGAAACAGTTCGGGCTGTCACTTTGAGGGCTTTGGAAAAATTTGTCAATCAATGTCTGAAGTCGAAAAAGCCGCGAGGTGCCGCTGCATCTGCTAGTATGTATACATTCAGCCGTAAGTCAAAAATAGCTTTTAGTTGTCTTTGGTACTAATTGTAAGTGAGTATTTAGAAAAACAAGCTCAAGCACCGCCCCCACCGGTTGCAAGCGACACGTTGCCCCTGGAAGAGTATGAGAGTCGGAAGGAGGAACTGGTGCGCAAGATTGAGGAGCTAGGAGGGAAAAAAGTTGCCAAATCTTGTAAGTCTACTCCTACTGCCGGTCTAAGATCTGATGTAGTAGTGAGCTTTCTGAGGTGCAATTAAAGCTTGTTTCTCAGATGAGAAAGATCTCAGCGAGGGCATAAACCTGGACCCCGTCAATCACGGAGTGCGTAATTTGAGCGATAACAGCTCCAGTGATGACTCCGGTGATTCGAGCAGCGACTCAGACGGAAGCAGTGACTCGGATGATTCCAACTCCGACGATGAAAGTCCGCAGAAAGGCGGATCAAAAAGTGCCGCTGCTGCAAATAGCCAAAATTCAGCAGGTAAAAAGGGAAAAACAGCCAAATTAAAGGTGAAATGATCACCTAATTGAATGATCTTTGTTTTGTGACTGAATTGAATCGATTTGTATTTGTCAATTGAAAAATTGGGATTTAATGAGCCTGCACTCCAGAAGTGTGAACGAAGGTGCATGCGCCTTCAGCTGGAATTCTCTGGAAAATCCTGGAAAAAATCCGGCATTTTAAAATAAAATTTTTGAATGTATTGTGTAGTTTAATTTACTTTTACACCAAAATTTGCAGTCTATTTGTTAATTTCAAAAATTGAAAAATAATATCTTGAATGTTTTGTAAAAGCTTGATTCCCGTCATGTATTGTTTCGTGAAATTATGTCGATGTACTTTGAGACCCAGTAGTTAGTGATCAGAACAAAAAGAGCGCATGTCCAGTAAGCTGTTTTAATGAACGCATTTAAGGCCCTAAGATATACAGCCAAGCTAGAATTGTCAAGTGTATCAATTTATCGCTGGTAGTGGAACATCTCTAGTCTTCCATCTTATCGTTCCGACCACTCTCGAAAGACTGAGAAACTATGGCGCATGGTATTTTTGCGCGTTTTCAGCTTCCTCAAAAAAATCGTAAAGGTCAAAAATATTCCGTGTCGAATGGATACTTTTGCGAATTTTTTTCATTTCTGCGATGAACTCTGTTTCAAGTTTTGCAACATAAATTTTTAAATATGCACTGATGTTTTTGTAATCTGCAGTTGTCACTCTGCAAAAAAAAAATCAGAATAAATCACAACTCCAAAATAGAAAGTTCACTGAAACCCTAAATTTTCTCTAAAATCCCTAAAATTATTCACTTAAATCCCAAACTGGACATTCTCCTCTTTATTGGAATTAAAATTAGAGAGATATTAATCTTCAGTTATATTGTTTGAGAGTAATAAACGTAGTTAGTACTGTAATATAGGTCTTGCTGATTTTTTAAATGTTTTTTTTTCAGGAAAAAGTCTTCAAATTTGTTCACGCTCAGTTTTAGTTTTTCGCGGTTTGACTTGCACTTTCTTTTTTAAGTTCAGTGCATTTCCATTGTTAAAAGGAAGGCAAACTCCTCTATCGAACAGCAAAAAAGTAAAGGTCACGTCAAACGTGATTGACTTTTGATTTCGAAAATGGAAATTAATTATCAGATTTCCCAGCGAAATAAAAGATTTAGGTATTGATCCAGTTTTCTCAAATTGCGTCAATTTTAGCAAAGAAAAGTGTTCATCATAAACTGTTCTACAAAGTTTTTTTCTTCGAAGTTCAAAAGTTGAACGCTCTTGAAAAAACAAGTCAGTTTTTTTTAGTTTATTTGCGTTCATAACTCTTTTCCAACTACTACTTATGTTTGAGTTATATAGAACGTAATGCAGATCCTTATTAAGTGGAGTCCTCTTTAGGTTAGAAGGTTTTTTTTATTTGTTGAGTTCCTATTTAAGGTACTGAATTTGAAAGAAGATCGTGCAAAATTTATTTTACTTTAAGTTAGAAGCAGTGGATTTATTTTCAAAGAACTTATTAACAGTCGATGAACGAAGTGAAGACTCTTATATATGTCGTGATGATTTTTTTGTGTTATTTTCTGGAAATTCAAAATAATGTTATTACGTTCAATTTTGATTTTTCGTGGTTTGATATAAAATATTTTCAAGTTCAGTTCATTCCCCTTGTTAAAGGGAAGACAAACTCAACTATCGAACATCCGAAGTGTTAAGGTCAGTTCCCAGCAAATCAAAATTATAAATTCTTAAAATTCAAAGAGTTTTAGGCAATGGTTTTGGAGAGCTATGGTTTTGATTTAAGAGCAATGGTTTTGGTTTGCGTTGATAGACGACTTGGGTTATTAGCTATAGTGAGTTTAGTTTGCTCAATTAATTTTGACTTTTTTTTTAGTTTTGGCGATTTTAATTTGGCTTTTTTAGTGTTCACTTTCAAATCAATGGCAGGTCAATTACTTTCTCCAATAAAAATGCAAATGGTGAGTAATTAGAGCTTGAAAAGCGAGTTAAATCTGGAGTAAAAAAAAGGCAAGGCATAACGAGCCAATTTTTTAAATTACGACTATTTCAATCAGAAATATATTAGTCATACAAGTTTTTGTAAAATCGAAGATTTTAGTGTTGATGCAGTTTGTTTTGCGAAGTTCGAATTCCAAAATAAACTAAAAAATCAGTGCTGTTTTTTTAAAGTTCATTTAAGCCTATTCAATTTTCCGGTGTCTATGCTTTGGAAATTCTTGTAGTTGAAAGTCGTTCAAACAAAGCTTCTTGATATTGAAAAAAAAATAAGGATAGCTGGTTGTATAGAGCACAGAATGCTCCGACCACCACACATGAGCCCATAAAAGCGGTTTTCGAGGCAGCCAAAATCGGTATCTGGGAGATTGAATTCTGGTCTATTCGATCAGTGGTTTGGACAAAGAATCCTTGTTTATACTCATATTTATTTTTTGAAAACTACTTATTAAAACTTATAGAATGAAGTGATTAAGAGACGACGAAAGCAGTTGAGACTCTATGTAGGTCGTGATGATTTTTTTTCGGGAAAAGTCTTTAATTTGTTTAGGCTTAAGTTTACTTTTTCGCAGTTTGATTTTTGATTGCTTCTTAAGTTCCCTTCATTTCCTTTGTTGAAAGGAAGGCAAGCTGCATTATCCATCAGAAAAAATTGACAGTCACGATAAACGTGATCGATTTCCAATTTCGAAAATGGAATTTAATTATCAGATATCCCAGCTAAATGAAAAATTTTTACCAGTTTTCTCCAATTGGGTCAATTTTATCAAAAAGTGTCAAGTTAATCTAGAAATTCAAAGAGTTTTAAGACCATCTATTTGCTTTCTTGGAAATTTGAGATTTCAAAAAACAAGTCTGTTTTTTTTTTAATGTTTACTTGCATTCATTGACTCTTTTCCATCTGTCTGTTGGCTTTGTTTGTTACTTACATAGTTCGTTAGGATCTTTTTTGTCAAACATTTTTATATATATTTTTTCGATTTCCCTGTTTTTATAGGACTTTTACACGCATCTGTTAGCTATGGTAGTTTATTTCTAGTTGTTTTCATATGTTTTCTGTCCATTCAGGTGAGTATGCGAAGAAAAGCAGCTTTGAATCTGCGATTTAAATAATCGGCTTGATGAAAAGTATCATTTAAAATACTCGAAGGAAAATAAATAGCAGGTTGCTAAAGTAGGCAGATTTGTGGTGTTGATGATAATTATACTTGTGGTGAAATGAAACTATTTCTAAATTAAGTGAAATCATAAACGAGTCAGCATGAAATCAGAAACGAGTCAAGTTTTTAGTCTGTGCCCTATTGTAACAGTCAAATATTTGATTATTAGAGCGTGAAAAGATTTTATTTCATATTTTTATTGATTAGTCGTTTGAATGTTCACGTGGAAAAAAGTAATTTCTGCAATGAAAATAGAACATATGCCAAGAAATTGGTCCAATTGATGAATTAAAATTCGGTTGTTGCGTCATTTTCAGCTCTTCGTTTTCCGTCTGTGTCACAGTCGGGTGGTGAAATTCGCCGTTGGAATTTTCCAAGCTAAATCCATTTTGATTATTATTCTCAGCTTCTAAAACGCAACCAAATACGTAAATACATTGAATTCTGAAATGCAGATAATTGTTATCAAAACTGAAAGAAGAAATTTGTCAAAAAATGAAGGGCAATATATCAGGTGCGGATGTAGGGTTCTCTTTTTTTTCTTTTTTAGGTCGACCAAAGTGAATTTCCGAGCTCTCCCAAAGCACTAAAAAGACCCTGTTATGGTAAAATTTTCTGCACCGCAGGCCAAACTTTGAAAAACGGGCCAAAAAAGGCGTTTTTTAGGCACTTTTTGGAAAATTTTGACCAAAAAATCGCGTTTTTTGGCGCGCCTTCCCCCCTTAAAATTACTACATTGGCGCCAAATATAGGGTCCTTCACCAAACATGGATATCTCAAAATAGTACAAAGGGTCGGCAGGGGGTCGAATCTTTGAGGGGTCGGCTGGGGGTCGAATCCCTGAGGGGATCGCCCCCCCCCCCCTTAGATCCGCCTCTTCATTATATGAATAAAAAACGTATGATTTTTATTTGATAATCTTTTAGTTGTACAGGTGGTCAAAATAACACTTCTAGAAAAAATCAAGCATTGATCCCGAAAAAATTAAGTATCGATCAAAGATTCTATTTTGAATAAATACAGCAAATGAAACCCCCGTTGGCTTGTGTCAACTAAACAGCATTTTGCATTAATAATTCATGAAGATGTTTAGTCGCAAAAATTGGTTTTTTTTTTGCTTTTTTTTCCGTTTCTGTGACACGAATTAGATAATTTTCTGGCTTTTCTGTAGAGCGAAGTCTTATATAAAATAAATATCACGAATGAAATTAAGATGGCATTAGTGTTTACACTTGTGAGCGTAGTGTCATATTACATTTGGCGACACTTGCTAGCATAGAATTAGCATTTGAAAAGCACCTGTTGTATCTGCTATATAAGTGGCTAGTGTTTGACGATTGTCTATCAAACTTGGCGGATATGCAATGACGAGACTCTTAATTTCCAGTTCGATTGTTCGGTGGTGGCACAAGTCTGTAGTTTATTTTTTGTTTTGTCTTTTTTCTTTGTCTTTTTTCTCATTTGTGTTTGCGAAGCGCAGCTGTGTAAAGCTTCGGCTTAACTAAATGAAAATTAAATTTGTGAAAGTTTTCATATCAGGATCACCGCAAAATTCCTAGTCGAAGAAACCGTAGTTCTGTTTGAGTGTTCATTGTTAATTTGGTGGTTTAATGGTGTGACTTTTCTGGCAAGATACATGTTATCAGATATATCATAAACGTGATGTCAGTCACAATTTCTTAAACTGATTCTAAATTGATTATAGAAAACTTGTTGGATCTTGTTAAATATCTCTCCTATTGCTTAACCGTTGAATTTGTCTAGTAAGGTGGGAAATTCGCCACAAGATTTTAGAGGAGGAGAATAATTTACAAGATCA